CCCTGTGAGGTAGGTGGGGCTGAGAGAGCTCTGACAGAAACTGCTCTTTTTTCAAGAACAGCTCTTATCAGAACTATGGCTTGCCCAAGGTCATCCAGCCAGGTGCAAGTGGAGAAGTGGGAATCAAACCCGGTTCTTCTACTACACCAAACTGGATCTCTCTCTCTCTCTCTCGTTCTCTTTCTCTCCCTCTCTCTCTGTGTATATATATGTTATATATATATAAAAGAGAAAACCGATCCAAATGAAACAGAACTTTAGGGCCTATCAGGACTGTCTACTAATATCCTGCTGTTCCACCATTAACTCAGTAAACATGATGAAGCAGTTTCAGTTTGGGAGAAAAACCGGAGAGAGAGAGGGATGGTGCTACACCAACATCAACCATGTTCTTTTAATGTCTACAAGCAGAATGAAAACATTGGAAGGGTACTCTGCACTCTATCCTTTCCCCTTCTTTCTTTGGGAAATGCCAGATGCGTAGTGGCTCTATATCTTACAAAGCAACACAGCCTATTGGCCCTGGCCTATAGGGAGCTAGCTATTAAAATTTCATTGGTATGGCTGCAGTCCATTAGCTAACTTACCTTCGTACCCATAAAAAGTGAAGGGTAAAGCCCAGGAATTTTACAACCACTATCTGGAAAAAAGGTAATAACAGGACCACAGCCACATTACATTTATTACACACCATGCCTCTAACAACTGCACTGGGATCAGACCACAGAGCAGCAGTGTAGTGAGACAGATGTCACGTTCTCCGGGTGATTTAAAAGGTTTGGGTTTTTGGTTGTTTTTTTTAAAAAAAAATAACTTAATTTAGAAATGAAGTCAAAGCTTCAAGCTTTGCAGCAGGAAAAATATACTCGGGATATTTCAGGTCAGATGAGTAAACTAACTGTCCCACAAATTAAGACATTAATACCCATCGTCTAGCCGACTCCGTAATATGCTTTTCTGCAACTTCCTTTCGAATGGATCAGGCACAGCATTAAGCACAGCAACCCCCCCCCCCCCCCCCCGGCATGAGAATTACTGTCTCTACACTGACCCAAATTGTGTTGGTTGGAGTATCTGTAAGAACGTGGAAGATTTAAAGTCCCTGCTCTCCTATGTCAAAACACAACAATGCACTTGGCACAGTTGTGGGAGTGTGATTTGTATACTGTTTTTTTCCGAATCACGCTCACCTAGACAAAATTTAAGGCTGAGATAACCTTTATAGCAAGAAAGCAAACATTCTCTGAAGTAATATCCAGAGGCTACAAGTAAATAGCAGCTTTTCACGGCTGTCAGGCTCGACAATTCCTGGCTACCCTTCCCGTCAAACATCCTCCTTCCTTCAATTTTGACTCCTCTGCATTTTTTAACAGGGATGCCCCTCCTCTGCGACTGAAGAAAGTTAACACTCAACAGGTATTTAAAGCGAAACTTCTACTTGCAAGAATATCTGAATGGAAAACTTTAGCAGAATGTTACAAGGAGACTTTGTCTAGTGAACGGAAGGTAGACATTTAAGAGAGCAACCAAAGATACAATACAAAGTTCCCTCTTAGCAGATGGCTGCTAAGTGGATGGCTGTCTTAAAATGTGATGTGCCGCAGGCCAATATAGCTAAAATCTGAAATGATAAAACAGCTTTCGTGTTATGTGGTCAGAATATTCACTGGCTTTTCTGGGATCAGCACAATCTCCAAGGAAGCACACACACTACTTTCCAAGGGCTCCGGGAGAACTTCCCTGACTTACCTTTAAAGACCTTGTTTTATTTTTTCTATATCTGCTAGGGATTATACTTTGAATTATGGGATTACCATTTTGTCATGTAGCTGTAGTCCCATAAATTACTATTTAAAATGATGCAATTCCATGTTTCTTATTGACTAGACTGTTCACTTTACTATAAGCCGATACTTCATTCTCAACTGAGACAAAGCCTCAGTACATGTCACAGCCCTTGCTCTGACTCATGGCCCTCCTATCTTTTCCTTGGCTCTCCCCTCCAAGACCACCAAAAACTCACACATCTTGCAGGAAGAGCCTAGGATTATTGCCGCTTCTGCTACTCTGTTAGCGACACATAATGAGGGCATAGCGATACCATCTGAAATCAAACCTATAATATCCATAATGGAGGTGTTTATGGTGTAAAATTAGTTCATATGGTTCTTGGCAATTGGGAAATGTAAGTATACGTCTGCATGTATGAATTTATATCTCCTATGCTAATATAAAATTAACATATACTGTGGCTGGTGTGAAAGTCACAATTTCTTCTAGTAGTCAAGGAGGATCAGTTTCCTTCTTTGCTGTTCCAGCCAACTTGTGTGTGTGTGTGTGTGTGTGTGTGTGCGCAAGCACACCGACCCACTGACACTGTGGTTTGCCACAAGGACATAGCCAGGAAGCCATTTTCTCTGCTTCTAATAGCTTTTAAATAACTCGTTATTCCTAAAATAGGGTATACTTAGAGGCTTTCCTTGCTAATCACCAGGATTAAATTTAAGGTCATCTCCGGCAACCATATTTCTGGATCTCTGGAGTTTTGTGTAAGTGGTTAAGTGCGGGGACTCTAATCTGGGAGAACCGGGTTTGATTCCCCACTCCTCCACTTGCACCTGGCTGGATGACCTTGGGCAAGTTCTGATAGGAGCTGTTCTTGAAAAAAAGAACAGTTTCTGTCAGAGCTCTCTCAGCCCCACCTACCTCACAGGGTGTCCGTTGTGGGGAGGGGAAGGGAAAGGAGTTTGTAAGCCACTCTGAGACTCCCTCGGGTAGTGAAGGGCGGGGTAGAAGTCCAATCTCTTCTTCTCTTCTTCTTCTAACCATTAAAGACTCAAGCCATATTTTGAGATATTCCATTTAAAAAACAACAACACATTTTTTCCCTATCTATCCAGAGGGCAGACATTGATATCACTGTATCTTAAGAAACAGGTTGAAAATCTTTGCATTAAAGCTCAACTGTGAAATGTAATGACATTCTGAAGTCTAACATTTAAGCTTTATCAAGTGCACAGCAACCCACTCTCTTTTACCTTGGCAACATATACCTGCTATTTAAAAAAAAATCTTTTACATCTGACACCAAGAACCTAAACTTACCCTTACAACCTAGCAAATTAATTTGTCATGTACCAAAAATACCATTGCTTTCTTATTTATCATTACTATTCTAACGCTTAGATTTCTGTTTCTGGGCACGAAGTCACACGATTAATGGGAAGGCATCCTTATAAGAACTGAGCACTCTCCATAGAACAGTGGAGTAGAAAGAATCTCTTGAAAAAAAAGTCATTTTTGTCAAAGGAACTAAAAGGAAAGAGATGTTTAAGATCCTCAGCAAATCTGTATTCTGGAAAGGCACCAGAGGGTCCTGTCTCACTGCTAGTTTGATCACAGCATGGTCAGCAGGTATGTTCCTAGAGGTGTGTCCATGTGAATGTAGTCACACTCCTTGAACAAAGCTCACGTTCACAAAACTGGTAGTAGGGACCAAAGGTGGAGAAGTCACCTCTCCTCCTCTTGATGACAGAGCTACTGGCTCACATAAAACCATCAATTCAAACAACAATCGTACTGCCACCAATAATCCTCAATCAAGTGAGGAAACGTTATCACAAGGTTGGCTGAAGGAATTAAAATCAAATGTTTTCTCAAGGAGAATCATATGATCCATCAAGATGGCAGAATTAGCAGAAGCTCCCATGCAGACCCAAAGTACAGAGCACAGCACCTGTAGCAGGAAACTGTAAACTCAACCTAACTATACAGTGCAGGCATGCATCTCCAAGATCAAAAGTGTGGTCTCAAAAGTAACATACACACAGTGGATAATCAGTAGTATAAGACACATGTGTAAAACCCTTTCTATGACAGCTTCTGGTGCCTGGAAAAGCACCAACCTGTATATCTACAGTAGAAAATATATTCATGCCACACTAAACAATGCATACCCCTTGTCTGTAGTTACCTGCGCCCTTAATAGCATCTGGAAGGGCTTTGTTGTTATCCTGTTCTTCAACTACCGATCGTGATGATGCGTAGAAGGGTCCTTTTTCATGATGGCACCGTCTCAAGAGAAGATTATCAAGCTGACTTGTCAACCCAAACTTTTAGACTCTGAAGACTTTCCCCCCACTTCCAATATGACTGGACTTCACAGGTCGATTGTGAACTACTTATCCAACTTCATGAACTTTACGTAGTTACTTTAGTTTAAAGTTAATAGTTTTATTTGTTGTGGCCTGCCAAGCTCTTCTTTAAAGAAGGGCAGGATGCAAGTTTTAATAAATTAACTTATAAAAATTAAATGCTTTAAAAATATTTAATAAGAATCATTTAAACACTGACAAGGGTGTCAAACATATGGCCTGGGAGCCGGAACTGGCCCATCCAGGGCTCTTATGCGGCCCACGGGCAACTAGTGCAAGGGAGGGAACAAGAGATTGCTCGGGGGGGGGGAGGAGGGGGTGGAGCCACTCCGATTATGGCTTCAGCATGGCGGAAAAACCTCATTTGCAGAAGTCGAGCAGTGTGGGAGCGTCTGCCTAGTGCTGCAATGCTGGCTCTCCAGCCCGCCCATGTGGGTTCTCCTTTGTACCCCCCTCCCAGCCCATGGGGCCTTGCAGTGAAGATACACCAACTCGGGGCTTACCAGCTGCTGTCCTTTATACAGTTTCTATCTCCGGTACCTGGCGTTACATTTTATGGCACACACGGCCCAGCCCGACAAAGTGACCTTTATGACAGACCCGGCCCTCATAACAAATGAGTTTGACACCCCTGACAAACAGGTCTTAGTCTGTATTGCAAAGGAGATTCAGAACACAGAAGCTGGGCTTGCAACCAGAAGACCATTAGTTACAAGCTCACTGGAAGGAGATAACATGAATCTTGGGGGGGGAATTGTATCGATTGATTTTAAAAAATGATTTAACATAGTGTTAATATTAAACTTGGATAGGCATTTAAAAATAAAATAGAATAAAATAGCATACCTCAGCATGGCACCCAAACTTTTTTTCTTTGTTTTTCTTTCTGCATCTTCAGCCTCCTCCTTCTTGTCCTTTTCTTTCGGTTTGCTCTTTGGATTCACTTTTTTATTCTTTTCTTTTATCTTCAGTTTGTCTTTGGTTTTCTTGTGTTTCTTTGCCTTGCCTTCCGTGTCTTCTAATTCAGGGTTCATCGGAATTATTGATTCATAGTTCTGAGCTTCCTGACCAGAAAGAGAGCTCTTATCGGAAAGACCATCTGCAATGGGACAAACGTAATCAATAAGTATAAACTGGGGGATGGCATTTATGACAAATATTTTAAAAAAAAAAAAACAAATCACAGAGCTGGCATTTATTTATTTAAAAGGTATAAGATGGTTCCAATATAATGTACATCCACTGAGTTTTATAGACTGAGAAAGCCATAAAAAGGTACTTCCAACCAATGCTGCGGAGTCTCGTGAGCAAAAACTCTACTTTGTGAGGTACTGGCATTAAAGTTGTGAGTGAGCGATTTGGCTGCTGCATAAATTAGTTTGCTCTGGAGCCATCCTTCCTGAGCTAAGACAAAAATCTGTGAGCCGGAGGTTAAAAAAATGTGAGCTAGCTCACACTAACTCAGCTTAGAGGGAACACTGCTTCCAACTAGGCTCTACTGTAAATGAAGAACAGCCATGCTACAGGTTCACATTTTCTGGTTATTATAACCAATAATATGGAAAAAGCACTGATGATAAGGCTTGCCAAAATGGACCCCAAAGAGAACCTCAAACTGCCTCCTGGGACACACACACACCTCAAACTGCCTCCTGGGACACACACACTAACAGAATTAACAAAGTATAACTGGACTTCAAAACGTATGAATGTACATTTTGTCATTGTAGCTAGACTAGTATTGTCAAAAGTGATTGCCCAGCAGGCTTTTCTCCCCTTGATGGCCCCTCCCTTCCCCCCCTCCCCCGGGCCCAGTTCAGGGCAGGGGAAAGACCATGTTTTCCCACCGTTGCCATCACCCAGCTCCCAAGCTGCTTATGCAGCCTGACCCATCTTGAAGGCCATGACTCACCATGGCTGCTTTCGCCCTGCTAGCTGTCCTCCCTGTGCAGACCCGTAAATGGGACCATGGGTGAGTCAGGGCCCCCACTTTATTGTGAACCATAACTACATTGCATTGTAAAAGCTTTCACGTGCACGCACACTTCTTCAGATACACACAGAAATCTACATTGCATCGTGTTAGATAATACCAGTGGCACCATCATAATTTTCTTGTGCTCGTTGACTTGCCTTCCTTCTGTTTTTACAAGGAAAAGGACAGAAGACTTCAAATATATACATGAAAGTTAAAAGTATGCCTTGACTCCCAAAAGATTTAGAACTAGTGTAATAGTGAACAAGAGGGAGCATGAGACATATTAAGGACATGGAAGGTATGCACTTATACCCAGTTGTGAAACCTGTGCCAGACATGACCTGAAGCATGGACCAACTTGGGCTGAAACACCAGGCACAGCTGTAATTTAGACATATTCCCAAAGAGTCCAATCCATAGAGCCTAATGAAGTTCCCAATAACTTATAGGTCCTTTTTCACTATCATACAGAAAACTTAAACGGTACCCACAGCTACATTAATCAGATCACGGCTTTAGCTCTAAACACTTAAGTACCTTAGAACAAAAGACTGCAATGGAAATGGCCCTGATCTTAGAGGAGAAAAGCCCCTGAGATACCTTGTGCCATATCTTCAGGTCCATCATATGACTTGTCTATGGCAGCTCTGAAGCTCTCGTTACAGCCTCTACCACGGACCATGTGAGGCCTGGGCCTGTAGAAAGGAAGCTCATTCTTTTTCACTTCAGCCACAGCAGTCTGCAGACTCTCAAGAGAGCTTGACTTCTTCAAACCAAGAGTGGGACCAACATCCTTGCCAGGAGATTCTGAGGGAAAGAAAAAGGAAACATATACATTTAAACTACTCAATGGGGGGTGACAAAATCATAACATGCACATGGTTTTATAAAAGAGCTCCATGTAGTATTCCTGTAAAGTGTCAGATTCTGCAGTTGAACAACTGGAAGTCACCTCTTGCTCTCCAATTTTTACTGGAGTTTTGTTTTGGTTTTTTTACTCCAATAAATTATACTTGCAGTTCTCCTAGGTGCAGACAACATACACAGTCATGGAGGCTGTGGATATATGGAAGTCAAAAACAGCATTTCTATTCTGACTCTTCAAAGAATCTGAAACGGCTGGCCTAAACGAGGTTATTCCGTCAGGATCCCAATCTAATTTCACAACTGACATGGGATCACTCTCTTGCTACAGCCATGGAAATTCAAAATCTGTTTGCCAGACAAACCAAAGCGTATCTATGGCTCCCTTTTATTGTTGGGTCTTTTCCTTTAAGAAAAGATATTTAAAATGTCATTTTAAAAATGTTCTTTCATGTACAGGAACGTGCCTCGTAAAGCAAGGATTCTATTACATGCAAGCACACCATCGCTTGAAACCAGCAAAATGGACTAGTATATGAGGGCCCTGAAGAATAGTATGTGGGAACCCAGCCATTTCTGCGTACCAAGATACCTTCTGGCTAGATTTTTCAAGTTTACTATCAGCCTTTGCGTGCTTAAATAACCTTGGGCAGGAGGAATCATCAATGTAATATAACTGTGGATATGACAGGGTACTTAAAGTTGGAAGGGGTATCTAGGTTGCCAGGTCCCCCGGCCACCGGTAGTGGATGGGGGGGGGGTAGGGTTACCCGATTCAGGCTGGGAAACTCCTGGATATTTGGGGAAAGAGCCTGTGGAAGACAGGGACCACAGTATAGTACAATGCCATACAGCTCACCCTTCAAAGCATCCATTTTCTCCAGGGAAACTGATCTCTGTAGCCTTGAGATGAGCTGGAGACTGATATATCTATGGGTAGCTGAAGTCATTATTGAAGGAACACATTCACTAGAAGCAGGCAAAAGCTTCTAAACTTAAAAATCACTGTTCTCATGGACCTCATCATACATTTCTCACAGTGATAATACAGATAATTCTAGAAGAGGGAATTAGATAAACATATGGAGCAGAGGTCCATCAGTGGATATTAGCCACAAAGTATAGATAGAAACTCTTGGTCTGGGGCAAATGATGCTCTGTATTCTTGGTGCTTGGGGGAGGGGACAACAGTGGGAGGGCTTCTAGTCTCCTGGCCCCACTGATGGACCTCCTGATGGCACCTGGTATTTTTGGCCACTGTGTAACAGAGTGTTGGACTGGATGGGCCATTGGCCTGATCCAACATTGGCTTCTCTTATGTTCTTAAGTCTCCCTGGGTTATGAGGAAATCACTGAATTTTCCTTCATTTCTTTCATGCCCCAAGTGGAAATGATGTCACTCACTCACCTCATAAGGAAGGCTTCAGGTACTCTAATCTTGAAACATTCTGTTCATTAGAAGCCTAAATGTTCCTACTTCTGGTTCTGCATCCATACACTGTTGGATACTGTGCTCTCATTGAGCTAAAGCTACCATTTGGATTGGCTTCTCCACACAGGAAAAAACCAGGCGTGAACAACTGATGTAGTGCAAAAATAGCACTACATAGCCCAGTTTGGACTTGAAACCATTCCCAGTTTTGTGTGTGTTGGGAGCCAATGCCTGGCCCTGACTCAGGACAGTCTGTGGCCAGACTCACTCATGTGAGGAAGGTCAGGAGAGGAGGCGGATGGGAGCCAGGCAGTGGTGGGGAGGGGTGCGGTCAGAAGGCAAGGCTAAGCCCGGACTTGTGGAAGGCTGGGACGGGAGGAGCTAAGAGGCAGCCCTGAGCAGCCTGGGGAAGGAACAGGGCTGGGAAGCGGGCAGGAGGGGAAGTGGCAGGGAAAGCGGAGCAGGTGGAAGGGGGATGAATACAGGCCAGGTGTGGGTAGAACCAGGGAATCCCTTAAAAGGAGGAAGGAAGATACTGAGCTCCTGGAAGAACAGAGAGAAGGCCAGTGTGAGCCAGGCCAAAGGTGACACAGGACCGGTGTGTCAGAACTCCCTCTCCTTCCCAATTCTGAGGGTGCACTGGGGACCTCCTCCTCACTTTCTTTTGGTCTAGGAAAACCAGAGGGCAGGGAGCCAGCCCTGGGGGCAAGGGAGACTCATGGGGTCCTTGCGTAATAGGTGCTACTAGAAAGAATGCTAAAGGAGCAGACGATTTTACCCAAACAACAAAAAAGGCTTTGTTTTTAGGATAGATTAGAAGGAACAAGTTGGTAAATGCCTGCAATGTCTTCAGTAAGTCATGCCAAGCTATGGTGGCTGAACAAGGTGCTATCAAAGTACTCAGCATGGCGGGCTCCATAAATTAAGTATAAGTATTTCTACAACATCCTGCTTTAACACATTTGATTACCCTTTATTCCCTGAACAACGTAGAGCGTTCACCCTGGCCAGATGTAATGCTATGCCGTCCGCCATTTTATTTGGCAGATTTAACAAGGTTTCTCATCTGGCCAGATACTGCCCTTGCAGATCGAAATGTGTGGAATCTATCACTCATGTTCTCCTGCACTGCAATTTGTATATGGACCTAACGATCACTTACTTACACTCTCTTTTAACCAGCATGGGTGCTTGCTCTGATGCACTTAAGGTGAATAGACTTTTAAGAGATTTCAGTCCGGACATCACAGAGAAGGTGGCTAAGTTTCTCTGCTTGGCTTTAAAGCTGCGCCAAACGTTCTTCTAGAATTGTATATATGAGTTTTAACTGGTTTTAAATGTATAAATGGTACTGATAATTTATGCCAATAAAGGCTGACTTGACTTGATTAGCCTTTATGGACATGATTTTCAAATCTGAATTGGAGAAGGAAGGATTTCTCCCCACCCTCGCTTCTCTTTTGTTCTTTATGTGTGGAACAGCCAGGCCAACAAGAGAACTGCATCAGGAACCAATTTCACAGGGATCTGTGGAAGTTATAGAGCTGGCTGTCTATTACCAGGTGTGGTAATCTTGTAAAAAAATACATGAAGGTGAAGTAGCAGATTTTAAAAAGGCATGTGATGCATAAGCAAAACAAGGAAGCCTGGAAAGCTAGAACTGTCTGATGGGTTTTAAATTTAGGTAAATTTAAGAAAGCAAAACAAGACGACCTATCACAACTCCTACATGAACGACATGCAGAACGGCACAACTGAAAGATTTCACTGATCTAAATATTCCAAATGATTGCTGCCGCTTACAATATGTAGTAACCTTAGCAGGGCTGGTAATACCGATTTTTGGTACTGAATGTAAGATATCAAGCAATACTAAGATGAGAGAGAAATAAAGTCCGTCTAAAATAAATCTATGCAATTAATGAAGCTAAAGAGAGGGGGGAATAAGAGTAAGCATTGCCACCAAATGGGGAATGATCGCCAACACAGAAAGCAATTTACACTGCTGTTCCCTGGGGACTGTGACATCTAGTGTGTGTGTGTATGAGAGAGACAGAAAGAGAGAGAGAGAGAACCCAGTTTAAAGGGAAACCTGGTTGCTAGGTCACAAAGTGCAAGCTACCTTTGTTCCTTAATTGCCATTGTGGAGTCTACCATTATTGCCAGATTAGCAACTGCTGAAATGGATTTTGAGCACTGCCTTGCTTGTGATATAAAGGTGCTTAAAATTATTCAAGGCATATAAGCATCTGGGAGAGGTGCAGCAGTACCCATTTGGGGCTGGGAAGGAAGAACAGCAAAGAGAAGTCTAATCACTGAAGAAGAAAAGATACAGGAAAAGCTCCCCCCCCCCTTTCCTGATCAGAGCAGAGAAAAGGCAGTGAGGCTTTTCGGGGAGAAAACAAGCTTTGATTGCTGGCTTTCGACGGGAAAATCGCCACACGCTTCAAAATACACGATTCTCTTCCAAGGCTTCATTTGAGCCCCGAAACCTGCTTTCAGCATCCAAGCTCATTCCTGCAAGATGTACGGATAATAAAGAGAATGCTTCTGAAAGTCCCCCCCCCCCTCTCTTAGTGCTCAGCTACTCCTTGGACAAAACGTAAAGCCACACGAACAGAGCAATCAATCCTTCCCAGTTCTATTCATTTCTTAGGATTGCGCTGAAACTCACATAGCTAAGACAACTACAGTGAAACAGCATGAGACTAGTGACACCTGTGAAGAACACAAGGCAATTATACCTCACTGGAAATAGGAAGGGAGGGGGAGAGAAGACATGGTCCTCCTTGCAGCTCCCTACAGCTTTTGCCGAGCTCTTGCAAAAAGTCTCGGCCTTGTTGCCAGACTGTACCACTTCATACCGTGACGGAGAACCTGCATGACAGCATAATGGCCCGTACAAAAGAAACAAATGCATCACACACAGAAAACTGGCCCCAGGAAGGGGGCTAAACGAGAACTCTTCCACCTGCCACTTTTCTCTTTGGGCTGTTGTTGTTGGTGTCTCTCTGGATGTACATTTAATAGAAGAACATTCACTCCCGCGAGCTGTCATTCTCAGCCAGAAGCAGCAGAATCCAGAAATAGATTTTATATGGCCTATGCTGTTCATGAGGAATAAGTCTTTGGGTGTAAAAACGGGAGTAGTGACTTCCCGTGATGTTTCACAGTTTCCCCCAGAGACTTCAGATCACAGGAAGATTCTGTATGTTGACCAGGATCCCAAGAACAGACCTGTCAGTGTACCCAATGCAGTTATTACTAGTTAACATAACATAAGTGATAACTACACGAAGTGTGTTCACAGTGTTGTATAATTTTGTTTTTGTTGTTGTTGCCATCAAGTCACAGCTGACTTGTGGTGATGTCATGGGGTTTTCAAGGCAAGAGACATTCAGAGGTGGCTTGCCATTGCCTGCCTCTGGATAGTGACCCTTGACTTTGTTGGTGGTCTACCATCCAAATACTGACCAGGGCCCAACCTGCTTATCTTCCAAGACCTGACGAG